CGGCGAGCGCGGGCGCGGGCGCGGGCGTGGGCGTTGGCGCGGGCGCAGGACGGGCCGGGCCGTCAGGGAGGGACAGGAGCAGAGTTCAAAACCATGGTTCACATCATGCAGTATCCACGGTGGGCACCATAGGTTGGGGTGAGGGGTGGACACCAGGCCCGCCCACCCAGGGCACAGGGGGGATGATGTCCACCTTGGGTGGGGAGCTGGGACTGCTGCAGCTGCAGACACTGGGAGGCAGGGGCGCCAGGCAGGAAGCCAGCATTGCTGGTGCCCAGCGGATGCTCTCAGCAGCGCCCCCTCCACCCAGCCAGGCCTCATAGGACTCTTTGTATATATTAATTTCTTCTTTTTTTTTTTTTAACTTTTTGCTTTTTCTTTAGAAAAAGGCTCTGTCCATGCCCTTGGCTGGCATCTACCTCCCCCTGTGTCCGCCTAGAGGCGGGGGATGGCTTTGAGGGGAGCAGAAGCCCCTGATGCCCATTTGCCAAGGGATGGGGAGGAGGGAGGGAGAGGGGCCCTGTTGGGCCCCCCACCTGCAGGGCAAACATTCTCCTTGCACAGAGGGAACCAGATGGCCCAGGCCCCTCTCCAGCTTCACCCTCTCTCCCTCCCACTGTGGGGCATCAAGGGCACGGAGAGAGGTGAGCTCAGAGAGGCAGGTAGGCGAGCACCACCCCTGAGGTCCTGGTGAGCCAGAGCCAGACCTAGGTGAGGGTGATGTAGGCAGAGGCCTTTTCTTTCAGGTGTCGCAGACAGAGGTGACAACTCCAGCTCCCTGCAGGGATGACCAGAGGAGAGAGTGAGGCCCAGGTCCGGGAAGGCTGCCCCCAGCCCCTCCCATCCCGTCTTGGCCCACAGGAAGATAACCTCCAACCTGCCCACCCCCGCATCGCGCCCACCTCTCCGCTCACCTTCCGGGGGCTCCGCCATGGGGGGACTCAGGCAGTACATGTGGTAACCCCGATCGCAGTCGTCACAAAACAGCAGCTGGTCCTGGGGGGTGAGACCCGCCCAGCTGGCACCCTGGGGGCACGGGCACCAGAAACCGGGGGAGGGGGCCGGGGCAGGGGGGAGGCCAAAGGGGCTGGGGAAGGTGGGCCTCTCCAAGAGAGAGGGCTCTGAGGAGGTCCCCGCACCACGGATCTGAGCAGCACGCTGCCAGGCCCGGTCAAACACCCCAACAACCGTCTGGGTGTCATAAGACTCTGTGGAACACTTTAGAGGATACTGAGGTGATCTGATAGCGGCTCTGGAGCAATGGATGGGAGTTCGAATCCCAGCTCGACCATCTCCTAGCTGAGTGACCTTTTTCCCACTCTGAGCTCAGTTTCTTCTCTGACGTGGGAACGAGAGCACCTACCTCAGAGGGTGGTGGGAGGAGTCAGAGAGTGAAGAGTGTAAAGTGCCCGGCTCAGTTAATGGACACTAACAATGATAATACTGCGTGTTACGAGTGTTCCCCAGGGAGGGCTCCAGGGCAAGG